GGGAGCCCCCTCCTGGCCCCGCCCACCCACCTTCCTCTCCCGCTGCCCCGCCCCCAGGCCCAGAGCGCTGGTGACCCTGCTCTTCTCCCGCCCCCTCCTCCTGTCCCCTTCCCTCTGTCCTTCCAGCGAGCCCCGCCGCGGCCACCACGCCAAGAATCACCCGCTCCAACAGCATCCCCACCCACGAGGCGGCCTTCGAGCTGTACAGCGGCTCCCAAATGGGGAGCACCCTGTCCCTGGCCGAGAGACCCAAGGGCATGATCCGGTCAGGATCCTTCCGAGACCCCGCGGACGACGGTGAGACTTCACGCAGCGCGGTTCACGCTCACCCACCACCTCCACGACCGCCACACACACATGACTCCCAGGACATGGAGCCGGGGCCATCTGTCTTGCTTCCCGTGCCTTGGAAGGGTCTGGGGGCCCAGGAACCTTGGCTACACCGTCTGGCCGGGGGGCTGGGGGGGACGCGAGCGTGGAAGGACTCGGCGCGCCCTCAGAGCTCTGAGAAGCGGGGCTCCCTCCTCCAGCAGCTGCCTCCCCTCCCCAGCGCCTCGGGTGCGTGGGGACACCGGCGCGATGACAGCTCTCAGGTCCTTTCACAGAACTCGGCGTCTCCTTCCTCTTCCAAGTCCATTCCGAAGGCCAGCCTCAGGCAGGGCGCTGCGGTCGTCGTGGTGATCTGGGGTTCATGGTCAGCGGGGAGGCCTGGCCTTGTCGGAGACGAGGCGCCCACACCGGCGTCGGGCTTCCGACCTGTCAGGAGGGCTCGACTGAGCGATCCGACTGAGGGGTTTTACAGGGTTTCTTCATCTAGGGGTCCCCAGGATCTCAGCACGTCCCCCAGCACCGAGACAAGGGGGCCTGGGCAGCGTCACAGGGTTTGTTCTGAGCAGCTCGATGAGAATGTACTTTCCTGACTGGGAAGATGAGGTGACACCAGTGTGACCACCCTCTCCCTGTCCCTCAGCGCCAGCGCCCCGCCACCCCCAGACCACGCAGACTAGGGAGAGGCAGCCGTGCGCAGCGGACGCCGCCTGCTCTGGGCGGCAGTGGAGCCGGCTGGGTGCCCGTCCTGTTCTTTCCATTTGCGCCGAGGCCTCGAGGACCAGAGCCCACGCTCGCCCGTGCCTGGGGCTCCTCCCAGGAAGCCGTCGTGCCCCGGAGGCCTGTGCCAACTCTGTGTTCTGTTCTCTTCCAGTCCACGGCTCGGTGCTGTCGCTGGCGTCCAGTGCGTCCTCCACCTATTCCTCAGTAAGGACACCCCCCTGCTCCCCGCCGCACTGCCCCTAGAGCCTCCTTCGGCTGGGTGGCGGGCTGGGTGGGGCACCCAGAGCTTGGAGCCCTCGGCGGGCGCTTTAGCTCCTCTTTCTGGCCTCGCCACCAACCCCTGAGCAGCTCGGGTGCCTTTTCATTCCCTCCTTTGAAAAATGGAGAATCCCGTGGTCACACAGCCGTTCTGTGTCGTGGGAGTGGGACGCCTTGGTGGCAAGGAGATGGGCAGGTGTCTAGGACCCCGGGACCCTGACCACGCCCAGAATTGAGCAGGGGGTCACGTGGCCCCCGCCCCTAATTCGCTAGCCCTCCGGGTGGGCGGCAGGAAGGGCTAGTCTCCAGGGAAACCGAACTCTCCTTTCCCGGCCTGCTCGGCAGTGGCAAAGCTGGCTGGGGACGGGGTCCAGAGACTTTCCCGAAGCCCCAGCCTAGGGTCTGGCCGGTCCCGGGACGAGCCGGGGCCAGGACAGGTTCAGCCCGTCCCGCCCTCAGTCGCGCCCCTCCGAGCCCTGTGCCCTGCACGGGGGCCTGGCCGCCTCACCTCTGCAGTAACCACCTGCTTTCTCTCCCTGTCTCCTCCCGTGCTCCCTTCTCCAGGCTGAGGAGAGGATGCAGTCTGAGGTAGGGCGCCAAGCCTCCGTCTCTGCACGTGAACGCCACCGCGCCCCGCTTTCCTCTCCAACCTGATACTTCTGCCGTGTAAGCCTGTGTCTGTCTTCCTCTCGCAGCAAATCCGGAAGCTTCGGAGGGAGCTGGAATCGTCGCAGGAGAAAGTGGCCACCCTGACGTCTCAGCTTTCTGCCAACGTGAGTGCCGTGAAGCCGGGGACACCCAGGCGGTCATCGGGCCTAAGCTTAGATAAGTTCAGCCAACAGAGGACAGTTATCTCGTGAGGTGCCCCCCGGGGCGTGGACGCCAAGGTAGCAGACAGAGGGCTTGGGGGTTGGCCTCCCGTACCGGAGTCTCGATTTTTATAAAGACCTGTTTTTGCCCCCCGGCCTCACCAGCAGGTCTGGGTGCGTTCCCAGCCGCTGGTCTCTGAACTCCCGAGAGAAAGAAAGGAGGACGGTCAGTGGTTGTGTGCGCAGGTGGGAACAGCCTCGCCACTGGCCGTGGGCAGAAATCGCCACGGATTGTGATTATAGATCCCTCAGAGCCTGTCACAGCCGGGGGGGGGGCTGTATGTGGTGACGGGGGGTGTTGCTCCTGCCTCATAACTGGGAGGGCACGGAGCTGGCCATTAGAATTCCATCCGCTGACAACGCTACCCCGGAACCCAGCTCCATTCTCGTCCACCCCCAACGGCCTTGTCCGTTGTCCGGGGGCAGCTGGCAGAGATGGCCGGAGCCGGAATTCTGTGTCTGTGTCCTCGACCTGTCCTCAGGCGCCCACGGAAAACGAGCTGCTTCCGTCCTGGGCCTTGGTTTTGCGGCCCTGTGAGATGGGGAGAAACGCAGCCAGCCCTCTGTCCAGGCTGGGGCCGTCTGTCCCCTGTGGCCGAGCTGCACACAGGACACAAGAGCCCTTCTCCGCCGAACGCCGTAAACAACAGCTGAGCCGGATACGGAGGGCTGTTCCAAGCGTTAGCACAAAAGTAGCCGTGTCTCTAGTTTCCGCAGCGGTTTGGGGTTTTTCTCTTCCTTCCTCTCTGGGGAACCCAGCTGTCTGGCCTGGGGTCTTCCCTTGGAAGCCGGCGGAAGACTCCACCAAGATCTGGCCTGTTTCTGATATATTTCAACAGTGGCTCTCTCTCCATGCTGGCTGTTCTCTTGACTCGCTTCTCCCAAACCCTCGATCCAGATGTTGCTTGTTCATGGCTCATATCAAGCACTTCTTTCACTCGTGGGGACCCACAGGAATTGTAATATAAACAAAAACCTTGTACCCCACCCGCAAGGCAGTGGCCTGGGCCAGGCGCCACACACCCCTGAAAACACGTCTAGGAGAAGCACCGGGAGGCAGAAAACATTAGCCGGTCACTCACTGCACTGCAGCCCGTCAGCCATCGCGCTGGCCAGACTGGCGACAGCCAAGAAAATGAATTTAGAGGGTGATTGTTCTTAGAACAGGAAGTTCCCTTTGGCCAAGACAGAAGAAACCAAACACCCAGACATGACGGTTCTGAATTTTCAAGGCAGGTTTTTGCCGAGGTCGCGGCCCTGCCCTCAAGCAGGAGACATGAAGCCAGGACTCGGGAAAGGTCCCTCTGCAGAATCCTGGTTCCACACTAAGCTTTCGTACTGTTCCTGGAGCTTCCCAGCTGCCCGAGCTGAGGGCTCCCGGACCACTGCGTAGCCCTGGGGTCGCACAGGCGCCCTGGTGAGATGGAGGGTTCGAGAGGGGTCAGAGGAGGGAGAGGAAAACCCAGGTTTGTGAAGGGGGAGCCCCCAGTGAGAAGAGGCCAACACAGAAGCACATGAGAAGGCAGGGTCCCCGCGGAAGCCAAGGACGCAGGAGTCCTCTGTGCAGCGGTGGGAGTAACCTGCTGAGGTCATGGCAGCGGGGCCACGCAGCTCATGTAGGACAGGCACTGCCTCCGTCAGTCCAGTGACAGCAGCCCTCAGGCATGTCCCACGGGCACTGGGAGAAAACCATGGTGTGCCCAACGGGAGGAAAACAGCCGACAGGAAGCCCTGAGAGCGTGTCACAGACGTGTGAGCGCCCAGGCGTGTCCGGCACTCCCTGTGGGGTCGCCAGCCTGCTCACGTGCCCTCCACCGATGGCGATTTCTCTGACCCCAAGTGTCCCCTTCCTAGTCCTGGCCGCATTCCCTTCACCTTTCCTACACATCCTGCTGCCAGCTCCGGCCATGCGCTGGGTGGCCTGCGTGTCACCTTCCCCCAGCCGGCCTCTTCTACCGGAGGGTCCTGGGCACCCTCCCGTCATCATGAAACAGACCTGACACCTAGCGGCCAAGCTGTGGAATGCCCCTGCGGTCCCCTCAGCGCCCCAGCTCTGCAAACAGCCTGAAGAAACCAAAACAAGGAGCAGCCGGAACGGGTTAAGGATGGAGGGCCACCTGGAAGCAAGGGAGGGAAGAAGCCAGTTTCCACGGGGACCGTGGGGGCCGGTCTGCTGCACAACACGGGCGATAAACCAAGATGACCGGAACGGCCTCGGGGCTGTGGCTTCCCCCAGAGCAGAGGGACAGTCCCGCTGCTGGGAATTGACAGGTGCCAGCTCCCAGACCTCCGAAACGCCGCCCTGCTCTCACACTGTCGGTGCCACGTCATTACCGTGGCAGCCGGTCTGCCCCGGAAGCTGTGTGATCACGTCTGCCCGCTCAGGGAGATCAGTGTTTAAAAGCCCCCGAGACGTCTGTCGGCACTGGTCAGCGCTGGGGCAAGCGAGAGTGGAAGGAGGTCCCCGAGTCAGTCCTCTCTGGCCCCGAGCCTCAGGCAGCTTAGGGACGTCTCGTGTTCGTTTCAGGCTAACCTCGTGGCAGCTTTCGAGCAGAGCCTGGTGAACATGACATCCCGCCTCCGGCACCTGGCAGAGACGGCCGAGGAGAAGGTGAGGGGCGGGGCCCGGGGCGTGCTGAGGGCGGGGCCTCTGCACAGGCCGCCTCCTCTCCCCGAGCACCTGAGCGCCAGCGTCTCCCTCCCTTCCTGTCACCCTGAATTCTCAACCTGCCCCTAACACAGTTGTCCCCATTCCTACTCGTCTGTGTCCTGCCTGATAGAAGCCCAGTGCCTGGCATGTAGCAGGTGCCCCCGTCCCAACCGATGGCTGTGTTTTCGCTTCCCTCCTAGGACACGGAGCTGCTGGATTTGCGAGAAACCATAGACTTTCTGAAGAAAAAGAACTCGGAGGCCCAGGCAGTCATCCAGGGAGCCCTCAATGCCTCGGAAAGCACGCCCAAAGGTAGGACGCAGCCGCAGGTCGCGGGCATCGGGTGAGAACAAGGCTCTGCAGGCTTCACCTGCGCCCACAGTGTGCAGGTCCCAGGTCCACTCTGGAGGGTGAGGGCCCTTTGGTGCCTGTCAGAGGGACGCTGCAGACCGGTCAGTGAGGAGTGCCAGGGCCACGCCCTGCCATCCCCGGGAGAGGGACAGTGAGATGACCTGCAGTCCCCAATGTTCTCCTGCACCTGAGGCCAGAGCCGGGCTGCCTGAGAGGATCCTTAAAACAGGCCCTCATTCTTACGGGACGAAGATAATCCGGCACCCGCGCCCCTTGGAGTTCACCCAAAGGAGCTGGATTTTTACGTCCCCACAAAAGCCTGCACACGGTGTTTACAGCAGCTTTGTCCGTAATTGCCACGACCTGGGAGCAGCACGCACAACGCCTTTCAGTTAGTGAAGAGATGAGTCCGCTGTGCTCCAGCCAGACAACGAAACGCCCCTCAGCAGTAAGAAGCAGTGAGCCATTAAGCTGTGAAAGCTATTGAGTCTTAAATGCACGTCACTCAAAGAAAAAGCCAACCAGAGAAGGTGACATGCTGCGTGACTCCAACTCTGTGACCTTGTGGAAGGGACAAGACGAGACAGCGAAGGGATCCGTGGCTGCCGGGTGGGGCGGGGTGAGGGGGCACAGGGTTCCGGGCGGTGAGGTCCTCTGGGTGAACTGACGGCAGGCGCCTGTCCACACGCATCTTCCCGGACCCTGGCTGCACAACACGAGCCCGTGACGATGACGTGCCATGTGGGTTCCTCAGCTGTGACACGTGTACCCTCTGTGGGGAGGCTGTGAGCTGACACCAGCCCTAGAAAACGGAGTTTAACAAAAAGCTCTTCGCATTTGTACATAAGTCTGCTGTGTGCACTCACGTATGTAGTCGGGTGTGTGTGCGCACACCTGTTCTCCAAGGGGGACGAGGCCGAGGTCACATGTAATTACCTGGGCTGAGATGACAAGCTGCTTTGCTAGAGCCAGTCAGGACACGCGGAGGCCTGGTGCCACGGAGGCTCCGTCAGGCCCTCAGGGCAGCTGGCTGGTCCTTGTCCTTGGCCTTGGCCGGTGTTGTGCTCCGTTCCACTGTCCACGAGCGCCTGCTGCCCGCTCTGCGCAAGGCCGTCGTCCCTTCCTCCGCTGACTGTCCCTCCAGCAGCTCACACTCATCCACCCTAATTCCGTTTCCTCCCAGAGCGATGGAGGCAGCTGCCCCTTCTGGCCAGGAGGGACCCCTCATCTGATGCTTTGGGACAGCCCCCCTAACAGTCCCCCCACACACTCACACCCCCGTTTCCACACCTTTGACACACCTTCCCCACTGCTTGTGACACTGCTCTTTTATCTTAAAGGAGGAAAAAGTGGGGTCCACCTGTGTCCCGGCTCATAGCCACCTTCTCTCTCTCCTCCCTTCACAGGCAGACTCACCTCCGCACCTCCCCGTCACACCTCACACCTCACCCCACTACAATTTTGCTTCTATCACCGTCACCCCACCAAAACTGTTTAACCAAAATCACCAGTGACCCCCATTTTCCCAAAATCTAACTTACAGTTTTTAGGACCTGTGTTACTTGGCTTCTGTAAAATGGAGAAAACACCTAACCAGAATTTGTTGTATTAAATCAGAGAATGTATGTTACGTTCACCACAGTGCCAGGCACACACTAGGTGCTCAAAACAGTACCCCCCCCAACCCCCTCACACACACACACACACGGGCAGTGCCCCAGGGGTGCCAGGACCCAGCCCTGCACTAAATTCTTCCCCCGTCATCCCCTCCTGTAGCTCCGATGCCTCCGTGCTTCAAAGGATACTGCCCATAAACTGAAAAGACAGCCCAAAGAATGGGAGGAAATATTTGCAAATCTTATGTCTGGTAAGAGTCTAGCATCCAGAGTACATTAAAACCTCAACAGTAAAAAAGCAAATAACCTGATTTTAAAAATAGGCCAGAGATCCGAATAGACATTTCTCCATGAAGACACAGAAATGGCCAATAAGCACACGAGAAGATGCCCAGTGTACCCGTAGCCATCCAGGAAATGCCAGTAACAACTCCAGTGAGCGGCCACCTCACACCCGCGGGGAGGGCTGCAGCGGAAGAGGCCAGTGGCCAGTGCTGGGAGCCTGCGACAGGCCGAAACCCTCGCGCCTTGCCGGCGGGAATGCAAAATGCCGCAGCTATTCTGGAAACGTTGGCAGTTCCTCAGAAAGCTAAGCGTGGCATTCCCCTGTGACCCGGGAATGCCCCTGGGGCAGACGAGCCCTTCTCAGACCTGGTCCAGCTGAGTTCATGCGACGGTGCACACATGTCTCTCCTTCTCTACAGAGCTTCTCGGGAACAGCTCATTGCTTATTTTTTACCTTTGACACTTTTTTTTTAATGTTGAGACATGATTGTTGGAAAAAGGACCCACAGAATGAGTGAAGCAGCCCAGAAGCTGCGTGGTTCCCTGTCCCCTGCACCGCCCGTCTTCTCTAAACACCCCCTCTGTGTTCCTCCCTCATCCTCGGCCCCTAGAACTTCGGATCAAGAGGCAGAACTCCTCAGATAGCATCTCGAGTCTCAACAGTATCACCAGCCACTCCAGCATCGGCAGCGGCAAGGACGCAGACGCCAAGAAGAAGAAGAAGAAAAGCTGGGTAGGTGAAGGCTGAGGGGGGGCCGCCCCCGCCTCCGCACAGGGGCCGGGCTTTTAGACCCCGATGCGGCCCCTCCGACACGGGGCCCCAAGCTGTGTCCGCTCGGAGCAGGATCTGCTGAGCCCCCCGCTTGTCCCCAGGCCACCCCTCCCGCCTGCACACGTGTCTGCTCCCCTTGGGGTCTCCATCCCGAGTAGGTCAGGCGTGTTTGGCAACAGAAGGAAAGGTCCAGAAGGGGGTGTCCAACCAGCCCCTCCCCCAGCCTCCGCCCCCATTCCCTTCTGCACTGTGGGAAGATTCTATGAACAAGGCCATCAGGTGCTCCTGGAGGCCGTTTCTTCCAGTTTCTGGAGAGGTATGTTTCGAACCCATCAGGTTACTGCCAGAGAGCCTTGTATTACTTTTGGCCCAGAGGCAGTGGCGTTTTTATTTTCCCAGGTGACTCTATACTGACTTTGGGTGCCCTTTCTGACACCCTGTAGGTGGGTCCAAGACACTTTTAGCCCCCTGCTGCCTTTGGGAAGGAGAGGACCCCCAAAAGGAGACTGGGGTTCTCTGTCCCCATTCAGAAAGCCTGACCCCCCCAGGCCCTGGCGTGTAGTGCAGACAGGTGCCAGCTGTGTGAAATGAGTGATTAAGTGTTGCTTCTTTTTTTCTCCCCCTTCAAAATGCTGACTTCAATCCCCATTTTTTTCCAGGTCTATGAGGTAAGAGACCCTCTCCCCCTGTTTTCTCTTTCCCTTTGCCATACCTCTCCCGTTTCCAGAGCAGCCCCCTCCCCCTAAAAACGAACTGACACACATAAAACTAACCGTGACGGTCACCCCCCAGAGTTCCCAAGCCACTCCACTGCATGGTCCCCCCACGGCTGCCCCACGCAAGGACAGAGGAGCGGTCTGGCTGGGGCCACGTGGGAGAGTCCAAGTCCTGAGCTGGTCCCGCTGCCCTTGTTACAAAGTTGGCCGGATACAAAAGCAGTCAGATGGAGCTGCCCCGTCCAGGAAGCGAGCGTTCTTACCTCTGGTTCATCAACCCCTAGAAGAGAATGGCTAGGGGAGCCTTCTCGTGACCACGCTTCCTAGAGGCCAGTTCAGTCTGGGCCGAGCCCGAGGACTTCGCGCTACCCTGAGGTGAAGCAGAGGCAGGGGAGGGATATGTGCCAGTCACGTGCCAGTCACCCGAGACCCGGAAGCCCTCTGAGCATCATGGGGTTTGCAGACATCTCAAGGGTGAGAGCAGAGCCCAAGACACACAGAGTGAGCCCAGACGTCCCTTACACACCGGATGGCTGTGGCTCCCTGCCAGCGCTGAGAGACGAAGCCTCTCGTCTCAGCCATCAGGGAGCCTGCAGAATTGCAGAGAGGACAAAAAAAGTCATCAGATGGCTGATGCCAACCCAGCAATGCCAAAAGCCTAATTCAGCCAGTGAGTGGAAAGGAATTTATAGATGAGAGGGACCCGTGACAAAAGGACGGGGAACGCCACAAAGGAGGTAGAAGCTGGACTGAGGTGGGATGGTGACAGAGGAGCGTGCCGGGACGTTTCTACGTGGACACTGCCCCGTGAAGGGCAGCCGCGGGCCAGGGAGAACACGCGTCCGTCTGGGGCCGGGGTAAATGTGTGAACACGTCTTAGGTCAGCGTTTCGCACAGTGTGTTCACGCTAGGCCGCTGAGCTGCTCCCCGAGAGGACGCCATCGAGCGTGGGGGGCCTGCCCTTTGTCCAGCACACGTCCACGTGCCAAGAGCTCTGGGGTGCACTTGCTGCAGAGGCCTGTCACGCTTGGCTTGGCCCGTTGTTCCCTGAGCTCAGCTGACACCGCACAGCTCCACCGTGTCCCTGCACCCCTGGCCACACAGACTTGCAGGAGCTCGGCTCTCCCTGGGGGCCTACTGGCCTGAGAGGGCGTCCACTTCAGGCAGACCGGTCACAGGATCTGTCTATATGCACACACAGGTGCACACGCATTCATACGTGCTCACGTGCACGCTTGCACACATGTATGTGCACACACATGGCCTCCTGTGAGGCAGTACGTAGAGAAGACGCCGTTGGCTTGAAATCGGGAGCCCGAGCCCCAGCCCCGGGCCCCCCATCAGCTGTGCAGCCCCAGCCAGCAGCTCCTTGGCCTCAGCATCAGAGAACTGAGCTTGACGGGACTTTTGGGCCCCGAGTCCCCACTGGTGACACGTCCCCTGCACACTTACCCCCATCCCCGCCGCAGGACACGGGGCCTCCTAGGAGCCACCCTAGCACACGCCCCCCATCAGCTCCCGCCATCTCCAGGCAGCCTTCCTGTGCTGCAGGCGAGACACTCGGGAGTCCCCGCGGATGTCCCTCTCCCCTCTCACTGTCCCAAAGGCCCGCTTCGCTCTGGTCCCCTGTGCCTCTGACCCCTCCTCCACTGTCTCTCGCTGCCATCTCATCTCTGTGCCCGTGTGGTGTGCATGCTGTGTGGACGCATGTGAGTGGGTGTGGGACAGGGCCCTGGTGTGCATTGCGGCTCACGCCCAGGACACCCAAGCTCGTCACCACCTGAGATCGCACACGCTGTGGTCAGATGACTGTTCCACATGTCTGAGGAAATGGAAGGAAGTGACCCTCGTTCTAGGACCTTAGAGCGGAAGTAGTGGAAAGCCCCGTAGCTGGTCGTCTGGCCATTCTGTGATGTGTTGAGCACACGTGACCCTGAAGGCAACTCCATCCCCCGCCCTCCACTCCTGTTCATTTCCACAGAATCACTTTGTCAGTTTCTGGTTTATGGGTGAATGGAGTCTTCCCTGTGCCCTGGTCCCAGCGGGGTCATGAGGCCCCCCCCCCGGAGAGGGGCCCCGGACTGAGCACCTGCTGGCCTGTGGCCAAAGGTGGACTGGATCGCTACGAGCTATCCCCTCTGACCCCTGGGGGCTTCTCTCCATCCCTGTCAGGGGCGCAGACCCCCAGGGGAGAGAGAAGACCCGAGAAGCTCCCGTAGCCCCCGCCAGCACCAGGGCGTTCCCCTCTCAGCCCTAACGTCCAGGCAGCTCTTCCGTTCTCACACCACGAGTCAGTCAGAGGAAGGCTGAGCCCCCCAGACGCGCCCTGCCCGTGCACCGCCCACGTCCCTGCCCAGCCCCCCGTCCACAGCACGGCCCTGACGCCTCTCCACCTGCGTCTGCTCTTTTCTAGCTTCGAAGTTCCTTCAACAAAGCCTTCAGTATAAAAAAGGGGCCCAAGTCAGCTTCCTCGTACTCGGACATCGAGGAGATCGCCACCCCCGATTCCTCGGCCCCCTCGTCCCCCAAACTGCAGCACGGCTCCACAGAGGCCGCTTCGCCCTCCATCAAGTCCTCCAACTCGTCTTCCGTGGGCGTCGATGCCCCTGAGTAAGTGCCCCCCGCTGCCCGCCACCCGGCATGGTCCCTGTGTAAACCTGGTCCCTGTGTAAACCGCTGGCCTCCAACCCTGCCACCGGGCCCCCCACAGACCCAGCCCTGGGCCTCTGGGCGCAAGGCCGTCCCTCACTGCCGGGTGCAGTGAGGGGTCAGGAGGAGCTGACTGCCAGCCGTGGTCTCAGACCCCAGTAACCAGCCTTCTGCCTGTAACTGGTCTGACTCGCTTTCCTTCCAGGGCCCCTGCTCACTCGGCCCCCCACGCGAGGCTGTTCCACGCCAGTGAGGAGGACGAGCCGGAGAAGAAGGAGGTGTCTGAGCTGCGCTCCGAGCTGTGGGAGAAAGAGATGAAGCTGACAGACATCCGCCTGGAAGCCCTTAACTCCGCCCACCAGCTGGACCAGCTCCGGGAGACCATGCACAACATGCAGGTCAGTGTCCTGAGGAGGGGACGGGGGCGGGGGGG